AAAAAAAAAGGAAGTCTTGCTTGCCATTTGCAAAACATGGATAGAGACAGAGAGTACAATGCTAAGCAAAACAAGTCAGAAAAAGACAAATACCAGGGCACCTGAGTGGCTCAGTCGGTTAAACATCTGACTCCTGATTTTGGCTCAGATCATGATCTCACAGTTCGTGAGATAGAGCCCTGCGTCAGGCTCTGTGCTGACAGTGCAAAGCCTGCTTGGGATTCTCTCTCTCCTCTCTCTCTCTGCCCCTCCCCTGCATGTTCTCTCTCTCTCTCAAAATAAATAAACTGAAGGGGGGGGGGGAAAGACAAGTACCATATGATCTCACTCACATGTTCAATTTAAGAAACAAATGATCAGCGGTGCCTGGGTGGCTCAGTCGGTTAAGCATCCAACTTCAGCTCAGGTCATGATCTCACGGTTGGTGGGTTCAAGCCCCGCGTCAGGCTCTGTGCTGACAGCTCAGGCCTGCTTCAGATTCTGTGTCTCCCTCTCTCTCTGACCCTCCCCTGCTTGTGCACTGTCTCCCTCCCCCGCCGCTCTCTCTCTCAAAAATAAACATTAAAAAATCTTTTCAAATAAAAAAAGAAACAAATGATGAGAGAGAGAGAGACAGAGAGAGAGAAGCCGTAAGTAGACTCTTAACTACAGAGAACAAACTGATGGTTACCAAAGGGGAGGTGACTGAGTAGTCGGGAATTAAAGAGTATATTTATCATGATGAAAAATAATGTTTTTTAAAAAGATATTTATCCGAAGGACTTAGAGATTTAACCCAAAAAAATCAAATTTGGAGAAATAAACCTTATTCTGTGTGTCAAGTAGCTCGTAATAGACCCTTCCAGAACAAAAAAGAGCAGTGGGTCAGGTCATTCTGACCTGCCTCTATTCCACTGTCATGTTTGGCTGAGGATAAAAGAGGCCAAGAGCCACAACAAAACACATTTTCTAAAATCAAGGACTCCAAGCGTTTGTACTCAGCCCTATCTCACTCCAAGACAGGATATTTAGCCATAGAGAAGTTATTGCCTTTCGAAGAGCAGGACCGTGAGAGTCTACAGCCTTTGCCAGACGACCACCAGTACAGGCAAGAGCTTCTCCCAGGATGAAATGGGTATCTTCAGTAGGCAATGCAGAGATGAAAAGCTAGGGTTCTAGAGACAGACTCCATGGGTTGGAATTTTGCTTTGCTACATCCTACTTAGAGGTACCATCAGGGGCAAGCCATTGTACTACGCCTCAGTTGTCTCACCTATCCAATGGGGATTATATTATCTGGTGTACAAACAGAATGACACAAAGTGCAAGGCACAGTGTCAAAGGCAGAGAAAGTGTTCAGCGAAGAAAAACTATTTTTTTTTTAATCTTGATTGATACTGTTGTCATAATTTCCAATTTTGGTATCTTACTCAAATTTATTCAAAATCTCTGGATCTCATTATTATTTCAATTTTACAGAGCTTAACCATAACTACCTCATTGGCCTCTTGTGAAGACTGAATGAATTAGTCTATATAAGGTGTTTAGAACACTGCTTGGCACAGAGTAAATATTTAAGACAATGTTAACTGGTTTTTAAATTATTATAATTTCAATTATTGCACACTGAGTCATTCTAGCTTTGAAAGCATAAAATATTTTACACTTTTTGCTGCTTTTTAAAATGTTGCTCTAAATATAAACTTCTATTTCGCATTAGTAAGACACAAATACCTTATTTCACAACTCATAATTTAACTTGCAAATATGCTAAAAAGGATTGTTTCTATCTTCATTTAGAAATATTTTAGTCAATTAGCATTTGGTTGAATGTTATATAAATGTTTATCAGATCTAGTGGGTTAATGATTCAGTTCTTCTATACTCTTGCTCAGTTTCGGTCTACTAGTCTTACCTAGAGAGGTGTGCTGGGTTACTCAATTATAATTATGAATTTGTCTATTTCTCCTTTCACTATGTCAGGTTTTGCTTCTGTATTTTGAAGGGCTGTTAGTTGGATACATGTTTACAATTGGTATATCTTCTTACTGTTTAAATCCAATCTGACAATCTCTTTTAATTGGTTTGTTTAGACCATTTACATTTAATGTAATAATTGATATGTTTGTATTAAGGGTTCCCAACCTATGTGTTTTGTTTGTTTCCATTGTTTTTTATTCTTTTGTTTCTCTTCCTTGCTTTTTTCAAGGTTAACACTATTTTTTAGTGTTCCACTTAATATATCAATTATGACTTTGACCACATTTCTTTTAATAAAATTTTAGTGGTTGCTCTAGAAGTTACAACATGCATAATTAATCTTTCACACTCTCCTTAGAATCATCTCTCTGATCCACCTTTCTGTTGTCCTCTTCAACTTTTAAGGACTCAATGTGATTCAGGTGGGCCCACCAGGATAATACAGCATATTCTCATTATCTCAAGGTCTACAGTCTTAATCACATCTGCAAAATCCTTTTCCCACTTAACGTAACATATTCACAGCATCTGAGGATTAGGATGTGGGATTCTGTAGGGCAGGAGATTATTCTGCCTACCATATAATGATATAGGTATCCTCTTCCTCGCCCCTTGAAAAGTTGTCTTCTATATTACATCTAAATACATTGCAAATTCCTATCAGACAAGCTTTTACTTTGATTTCAATCATGAACGGTATTTGGAATAATTCAAGAAGAGAAGAACAGTCTATCATATTTACCATTTTCTCCATTCCTGATTTTCAAATTTCTGGTATCAGTTCCCAATAGTATAAGAAATTTCCGTAACTGGTTATTTTATTGCAAGTCTGTCGACTCCAAATTCTTTAGATTTTACCTCATATAAGAATATCTTCATCTTCAAAGATATTTTCTTAAAATCCCAGATTCAACACTTTTCTTTCAGCACTTTAAAAATGGTATGACCTTTCCTCTGGCTTCCATGATTTCCACTGAGAAATCTGAGTCATTTGAATCACTGTTCTCCTACAGAGAAGGTGTCACTTTTTCTCTGACTGCTTTCAAAATTTTGTCTTTAGTTTACAGCAGTTATGATATGCGTGGGTGTGTGTTTCTTTGAGTTTATCTTGTTTGGGGTAGCTTAGCTTC